GTAAGTCTGACAAGTAAGAGATCATCAATAAGAGATAGAGATCCAGTAATATATAATGATGATCCACGTGAAACCTTGCTTGTAATTAGCAACAAATGACTTTCTTCCAAAAAATGATATAAATCAAATGAAAAAGATTTATTATTTTGGCTGTCAATATGTTCTCTAGTATTTAATTTCAAAATGACTTTATCATCATTGGTTTCTGAATTATCAGATGCTATACCTACTAATGTAATGGATAGTAATGATTTTGGTAGATTATCTTTTTCAAGATTAAGTATGCAAATGTCAGATGCTATCATTTAATTTGATAATTATTATTAGTTTTATTTTTATTTTTCTTTAAAAAGTTTTTTTCATTGTTATTGATAAATACTTAAAAAAATCTTATATCTTAATAGCTTAATTTTGCTTCCATCAACTTCTGTTTTAATGATTGAGAATTTTTCTTAGACTCTGATTATATCACCTTTTTCAAATCTTTCTAAATCATTATCTCTTGTTGTATTCTTTAGATAAAATACAATAATATGAATAAAAATGTTAGTATTTTGTTGACGTGAACTGATTATGCTAACAGCAGTGACTATAAAATTAGATTTTCCCAGAGTTTCATTATGTTGATCTATGAAGCAAATCGCGTTCAAATTGCAAGTCATTTTTTCTGTAAAAAAAATACAATTTTTTTATTTATTGAAAAAATAATTATGTGAAAATTTTCATTTATTTTATTGAGAAAAGTAAAGTTGTATTAATTTATATAAAATATTTAATATTATTTATGTATCTTATTATTATTAGTTAGTTTAATTAATATTTATTATTATTTATTAATCTATTATTCTTATTAGTCTCAGTAATGATTAAAATGATTGAAATCTAGGGTAACCAATCCAAAGCATGAAACATAAAAAGGAGAAGAGTGGATCGAATCAAAATGAAAAATAATAACAAAAAAAAAAAAAGGTTAGCACAATTATTTGTTTATTTACTTAATAATCAAAAATAAAAAAAACGCCTATCTTCTGAGATTTGCGTTATTATAAAGCTTAACCTAAAAATGAGGGAAGGATTAATCGAATAGAATAAATAAAATAGGGTTATTATAATTAAAAAAGTTAG